TATTCATATAGATATATCGATGATGTATTTATGACTACAAATTTATCTGTTGATCAAATTAATCGATTGTTGGATAGAGCCAATGAAAAAGATGAAAATATACATATTAGTCGATCAATTGGATCTACAATTGAATTTCTTGATGTTTTAGTAAATAATAATCATGGACAATTACATACTTCAGTATATCATAAACCAGCAGCAGAACCATATATTGTTCCATTTTTATCAGATCATCCACGTTATATTCATCGTAATACAATTAAAGGTGCTCTTTTTCGAGCAGTTCGTCTATGTTCAAACGTAGAAGATTTTGACAATGAACGATTAAATATTGAACTTATGTTATTATTGAATGGTTATCCACCAAAATTTGTTTCCTATCATTTTAAAAAATTCTTTGAACAACATAACATGATGTCATTGATGAACGAATTGAATGATGATATCTATCGAGAGTTACATCGTAAATTAATTATTCAACCAACATATCGAGAAAGAGAAAGAGAAAGAGAACGACAAGTTTATAATAAAAAAGAGATTCGTGTTCTTTTTACTTTCGAAAGTGGTCCGAAGTTACAATTAAAGCGTGAACTTTATCGTTTATGGAAGAAATATTATATCTACGAAGGATCATTAGTCAATGATGTTAAACTAAAGTTTAGTACCAAAAGCAACAAATCTCTCAATCAACTACTAGTTAAAAAGAAACCACCACGATCCATGTTAGTTACTAATCATACAACAACATCTACATAAATATTTAGTTTCTTTTTTGATTGAATTATCTTCTTTGATTTACTTTCTTCCTCTCTTATCAGCTTAATTTTCTATTTTCAGGATATCACTTTTTATTTACATGCTTACTCGTTTTTTTTTTTTGATTTTTTCGTTCTATTATATCTTTTACTTCTATTTCTAGATAAATTAGTTTAATTGTTCATGATTTTGGATATAATTTATTGCAATTTTGATAATTAACTTATTATTTTAATGATGAACTTCAATGATAATGATAATAATAACAATAGATTGATTAATCATTCACAAAGTCCGATTATTCAAAACTGTCAAGGATGGTATCCATGTCCTTCCAGTCAAGATGAATCCATACAAGTGCTACAATATAAACAAAAGAAGAAAAGTCGTGGAAATCGAAAACTACAACGTTATCGTCGAAAACTTCGCAAGCAAGGTATGGATACAGATACCATTATTCGCATAACAGATGTAAGGGTCGACATTGACTCAGAACGAAGTAATGAAATTATGACGCAAAGTATTGAAACAACAAATTCAGTTGTTATTGAGACAATATGTGATGAAATAGCAATGGTAGAAAAAAACGAAAAACATGTGAATATAAATAAACATCAACTAGTTTCACCGAAGCAACCAAATTTAAAACGTCTTATACATACAAATAAAGTTAATTCTTTAACATTTGTTCAACCGTTGAAGAAAACATCAACAAGTAACAGTAGTCCAGTCGATTATACAAATATACCAGATCAAATCTTTTTTCAGATGTTGTCAACAGCTTTTAATGATGTAGATAAACTTGGTTATTTTTTAAATGAAAAAGAGAAAATCGAATTTATTCGTGAATATACTAGTTTGATTGATCGATTATCTTATGTAAAATTACAAGAACAACAATGGAATTATTATTATCATATTGGTATGACGCAAAATATTTGGTCAAGTCGTATTTCAAAACCTTTAAGTAAGAAAAATTCTATATGTAACACATATGGTAAATCAAAAACAATCCTCGAACGATATCGTAAGAATTTTTCAAAAGAATTATCACAAGCACAATATAGAATTGAATTGTTTGAAAAACAAATACTTTTCAAATCTGCACAACATATCGATTGTTCATCTGAAATAAAAATATTATCTTTGATCCTTAATACATTCGTCTATGATAAACAACAGAACTTACGGGAAGAATTTGAATATAAAAGACAAATGTTAATTTTGGATGCAGTTGATCATCGTTTAATGCGAGCATTTTATAATTTGGAACCAAATAGCTCTCAGGTTAAAATAGATTCTATCATTTTCTTTATTGTATTTCAATATTATTTTTAATTCCATTCTATTATAGATTATTTCAGCAAGACTTATTTGGAGAGCAACAGCAAAACGCGTACTGATGAATGAGCAGATTGCTATATTGGAACATCATCTTATATCAAAACAACCACTATCAGCATCTACTCTTATCGATCATACGATAAATCGTATTGAACCATCTCTTACAAAATCAATCAATGTTATGGTACAAGATGATACATCAGCCAATATCTTATCATCTCAATCTCAAAAAGTGAATCAACTAAAACATGATATTATAAATCAAAGTATCATAACTGCTCATCAAATGCCAGAGAATTCTACTCATATTATTCTAGATAAAACACATAGATTATTAACCAACAAACATGATGATCAACACTCATATGAAATACAAATCACTGTGATCAATGCTATTGAGAATCGTCGATTACATATGATAAAACGTGGCAATTATATGTTAGAAGAGAAGTTAGCAACCTATTTGAAGAAAAGTTAGGCTTAAGGTCGTAAAAAACAATGAAAAACCTCCACTTATATAATAACTCTAATCAAATGTCTACATTTCCATGGTTTCTGTATATCATAAATTCTGTTTATCTTTTATCATAAAATATATTCTTTTTCAGTATAAGCATAACTTAATTAAACTTTCCGTTATTAAACAAACATGCTATTTCCTTCTCATTCTAGATAATTGAATGAAACTTTATCATTTCCATAGAAAGCAAATCTATTCTCTGCAAATATAATCAGACATCAACAACCATCCCAAGTGCGTGTCATTAACAATTCCATAACAGAACCAAATCTACCACAACAAGTTTATTCAAACAAGATATAAAACATGTTTGAAGTTAAATCCATAGTTGCAACAATGATATTTATCTTCTTCAGTTACATTTATCCAGAATACAAAGTTTGAATTAAATTGAATATTGATCTATTTGGTTATTGTTCAATTTGATTATCATGATAATTTTCAAATTGAATTTATGCAAACAGTAAGCTACCTGATGAGACTGTGAAATTCAGTCGAAACGCGTCGTGGCGATCTCTAATTATAATACACACCCACACCCACACCCACCCTCAAGATGGTTTGCTTATTCAGATTTTGATTCGACTATCTCTTATTTTTCCTTCATTTTCATATATAATACGTGATCGTGTAGATGTATCTACTTAATTGAGAATTCGATTCAGCTGAATCTCTTACTTTTCTTTCATATATAATTTGAAATCGAGTAAATGGATTTGTTTATTCAAGATTTTGATTGAGCTATTTCTTTTTTTTTCTTTAAACTACCATATATAGTATGAACACGAATAAATTGAATTTATTATTCAGCTATTTCGTTTTTTCCCTTCATTTATATATATATAATATCAAATCGACCAAATTTATTCGCTTATGCAGAATTCCATTCAGCTGAATCTTCTTTTTCTTCTTTCATATATAATATCTAATTCGGTAAATCTATTTACGTATTCAGAGTTTTGATTCAGTTTTTTTTCTTTACACTATCATATATAGTATGAAAAACAATGAATCGAATTTATTCTTCAGCTATATCTTTTTTTCCATTCATTTTCATATACAATATCAAATCGCATAAATGTATTTGCTTATTCATAATTTGATTTAGCTGAATCTACTTTTTCTCTTTCACATATAGGATAAAATCCAGTGAATTTATTTACTTATTCAAGATTGTGATTAAGCTATTTCTTTTTTTTTCTTTAAATTATCATGTATAGTATGAACACGAATGAATCGATTTTATTATTCAGCTATTTTTTTCCCTTCATTTTCATAATTACTATGAAGATCAATAGATTTATATATTTATTTGAAATATTGAATAGAGATGCCAACTCTTTTTGATTAATATTATAATACTAGATATAAAATAAAGTATCTAGTTGTGTCTGTATCTATATTTATTATATATATATATTGTTAAACTATGTATTTATTAATTAAATCTTAGATAGATATATATATCATGATTATAAGTTTTTTTCTTTGTGTCTTTCTAATTTATTTTATTCTTCATTTTAATTATGAATAGATAAATCTATGCCCAATTATTTGTTTCTATTTCTATAGATGTCATATGATGAAATACAAATGGGTTTTTTTTATTTATCATTTTGTGATTGTGTTCGTTACGAATACGATATTTTACTAATGATTCTCTAGTTTTTAATATTAAATTGTATTTCTCTATAAAATCATTTATACCTTATTCGAGTATTTTTTCATAACTTGTGATATCTCTGATTTAATTACATTTAATAATTCCTTTTCTAATCATTCATATCTTGCTAATTCTGGTCTTAATGTTTCATAAGATGTTTGAGATCATCTATTAAATAAAAATTCCAAAAAAAGAACATCATGTTTCGAATATTTTTTTTCTTTAATGTTTCAATTTGTTTGTCCTAATATTAAATGTTCATATTCTTATAGTTTGATTGCATCATCAATATATTTTTTTTTTTTATTTGCAAACAAAAACTGCGATCATTAGATCCTAACAGTACAAGAGAATATAAAGAGAAAGAGAGGAGGAAAAAAAAACACAGAATAGAAAATATGATAAACGACAGGACATGAAAACAAAATCAAAGTAAAAGAATCAAAACCGAAAAAAAAGAACAAGGAAAAACATCAATTCAGCAAAGATTAACAAAATGAATCAGGAAAATTCTGAAGAAGTTCTAAATCCTGCATCTCAAAGTGTGGCACTGAAGAATTTAACGGAATAGTCGCAAGCCATGTAACAACTCGCTCCAAAATAGATTGATTAGGAACGAATCTTTTTGATTTCCTTAAGCATTTGATAGAAAATTCTTTATCTAACCAACTTTTTCTAAATTCACATAGATTAGCTTTTTCAAAAATAAGATTACCATCTGTTGAATCAGAAAGCGCTGTAAGATATCTAGTCCAGTAAGCAGAACAGCGATCTTCCAGAGATAACTCGTCAAGTACATGTGCAAAAAAAATTTCATTCCATTCAAGACAGTAAAGAACACGACGTAAGGAAGAATAATAGAACTTGCACATACTTTCCTGTTGTTTACGAGTTAAAAGAGGAAAGACAGGGTAGATCCAAGTAAATATAGGTA